GTTGTTGTGTCGAAGCCTCATTCAGGGATTTCTGCTGTTTATTTTGTTTAGTCTTTTTTGGGCCTCACTGATCACATCCTCTACAGAGCTACTCAAACCGCCATCCTTGTCGCCCCCCTAAACACACCCTCTCCTAGGCATGCGCGTAGTGTCATGCATACAGGAAGAGAGACGTGCTGCTGAAACAATAGAGAGACATTGTGACTACAGCCAGGTTGTAGTGCAGAGTGGTACATAGATGAGACACTATGTCATTTTGGTTACCCAAAATAAATTAACACTGAACATTCGAGGAATCCTTTGTGCTGGTTTATATTGGAACTGCAACTTTCTTTGTACACACATATCTGTTTGTCCCACAGTGTTCTCTAATGTTTTGGGGATTATTGGGATTGGGAAGTTTATTGGGATCCAGATGTTCTCAGAACAAGCTTAGCTTAGCTTATTAAATGTGTGTGTTAATGTTGGTACTGGTTAATCTCTACAAAATCTTTAATTAATAAATTAAAAAAGAAAGAAAGAAAAATAAAATTAACATTTAAGTTGAGTTAATGTTCCCTCAAGTCTCATTTCTAATGTAAGACGAAGCCCAGCAGGTGAATACCATGGGCCTGGGGGCTCTTTCACCCATCCACTTCCTCCTCCTCCTCCTCCTCCTCCTCCCCCCTCCCAGGCTCTTTGTCTGACTGCCTGTCTCTCTACGTGACTGGTCTAGGGTCTGCCAGTGCCAGTGGAGGCCGCCATGGCAGCAGATAACACTAACTAGTTTCCTGCCATTACTGCTAATTGCCCCACGGCCCGGAACTGTGCAGACACCCTGGGTGGGGCGTGACTGAGGAGTGTGTGTGTGTGTTTGTGTGTATGTGTGTGTATTTGACAATTTAAAGTTATTCACATATCTCCAAATGTTACCTACCTGTTTATGTGGCTTAATTTATTATTGTATACGTCCCCCATCCTGGGGAAACATATGGTTGATGTGATGTTTGAGTATTGTTGGTGCTTTCATAGTGCTGTGAATGGAAAAGGATGAAGGGGAGACAACTGGGGCATGGGCGGCAGAGATAGCCAGACAGAATGTATATGTTGTCTATGTCTGTCACAAAGCAATAGAGGAAAGGTCCATTATTGAAACTGAAGTAACAGCTCATAGCTGGTTGACGTAAGTTCAAATATTTGAAAATTAGTTGTATTCTAGGGAAGACCTGGATGTGTTCAATGTAAAGAACACAGACCCATATTATGGATGGATGTCACACACACACACACACACACACACACACACACACACACACACACACACACATATATATGAGTTTATTTTTATTTTTATGGAATTTAGGACAAAGCAACAGTTATGTAAGTAAAAAAGTAAACAGTATGTGTTATATAATAAAGATGAATATGGAGAAACACAGACCAGGCACCATAATACCATGCACTGTATATGCATACAAGGGTGATTGTGCATCAGCATTCCTGATGACTTTCCTGTGTCATACAAAAAGGGAGGAGAGGATGTTTAGATGTTGCACTGTATGTTATCACTGGTATATCTGCAGATGTCCACAGCAGGCTATATGACCCTGGGGAGGGTGGCAGTGGGCTTTATGTATTATCTAACAAGGACATCAATCACGGACAATTTGGCCATGCAAATGACACAGAAACATAATACATACATACAACAGTCAGACTGCAGGATTAATGAAAAAAGTAGCATATGTAGTTTCCCATAAAAAGGCAAATTTTAAGGCATTTAGGGTGGTATGTGAATAGTTCAGCATTTTGGGAAATACCCTTTGATATTTAGCTTCATATTTACTACAGACATTGACAAGATATCTAACTCTCTACTAGAAAGCAAATAAGCATATTTCCCATAATGTCTAACTATTTTTTTAAACTGGGGGAGCACATACAAAAACACATGATGTTACATACAGAAACCCCTGGCCCAGAAACGAACCCAGGGTTGTGGCCAGTTTGGAGCTGGTGTGGTTAGTGGAACTGGAACTTTCTTTGTACACAGATATATGTTTGTCCCCCAGTGTTCTCTGATTTTTGGGGGGATTATTGGGATTGGGAAGTTTATTGGGATCCATATTTTTTACAAACAATTTTCACAGTTAGTGGATAGGCTAATTGAGAAATTGAGTTACAGTGACAATGAATGCCAGCTTGAGGTCGAGATTCATGTGACAGAAGACCTCAGATATGTTAAGTGGATTTCATAACCCTTTGTCCCCAGCAGCCTATTCCAAACATTGGCACTGATCAAAAACATCTGGTTGTCCTTGACTGGAGCTTCATCGGATAAATGTGAACATTGCTCTGGGTGGAGGAAGTTAACAGAATTAAGAATACTGTGTTACAGACTTTAAAAAGATTACAGGATCTTCTAAGGAGGCTATCTTGTGTGAGTGTGCATGTCTACAGTATGTTGATGAGAAGAGGGCATCAAAGCAGGCTAGCATCCTGTGGGCAGCCCAGGGCAGGACCAGTGGGCACAAGACAGCAGCGAGGTGGGTGTCCTGGAGCAGGCACCACACCGTCTGCCTCAATAAATACACATACACACATGCACACATACTCCCTATCCCTCCCCCCGGGCACAAAAGGCCACCATGTAATTGAAGCAGTGTCAGAACTCGGGGGACAGAGTGATGGGAGGGACACACAAACACACACTCAGAGGAGCTATTCTGCAGCATTAACCAATTACACTTAGAAGTCAGTGTAACATTTAAAATGTTATATACAATGTAACACTAAAATTAAGGAGAAAAACAATGATTAAAGAGCACGCATTAACACTTTTCAGTGGTTTTAGTCAAATGAATAATAATTGAAATGTATATGTGGGATTTAAAATTTAAAACTGCGATTCAAAAACCAAGCACAATAAAAGACAGCTTGTCTCAAATGCAGAATTATCAGGAGTTAATAAGAGTATGAGAATGGTAAATTTGTTCTGCATCACAGATTGTATTGAATACATGTAAATTCACAATGGAACTCTGTAAGAATGCGTTTCTTCAGCTGAAGATAGATAGGAATTGAACCCGGGTTGCTGCGGCAAGGACTCAGCCTACATGGGCCACACTACCGCCACATAAATGCATTTCATATTGTGTTGCTATGTTAAATCTCTCCATATTGAGGCCGCTGTTGTTGATCTATTCCAATTCAATAAATTGTTTCATATGTGTGATGATGCAGTAACACATCAAAGAATCAGTTTGATGTTTTATGTAGAAGAAAAACAAAATAAATATAATATTAAATTTAATATATAATTAATATATAATTAATACACGCTATATGTTAGAAATATAAATATATTCACAGTCTTGTGTCGTATTAATTTAGGTTTAGTCAGTCATGGAACTAGAGACTGCCGTATCTTACTGGGAGAGGTGTGTGTGTGTGTGTGTGTGTGTGTGTGTGTGTGTGTGTGTGTGTGTGTGTGTGTGTGTGTGTGTGTGTGTGTGTGTGTCTGCATTGAAATGATGTGAGCAAAGGAAGAGAATCTGGTATTTAGTAATAATTTTATTGATTAGATAAATATGTTGAAGTGAAAATGTACTGATTTATATGAGTAGTATAAACCAATTTGTAAGGACATGGAATTTGTAACAAATATGGGATTTGCAGTAGGTCTGTAAGAGATCAATTGTTGAGTAAATGTTTTATGGATATTTACTAGACTGGTATTTTCTTCAACCAGTAAAGTTTTTTTTTTTTTATATAACTCTTTAATTATAGAGATATAGTTGAACATAAAATAAAAAAAGAAATAACAATTGTCCTTGTTTTGTGAGTTTCTGTTGCCCTGCTCTATCTGTTGTTTGTCCATTTGCAACTCAAATTTGTCAAGGGTCAGGCATGTAATCATGGAGCCATTTGAAAGTTGAGAGTCGATTTATATACCAAAGTGTCATTATTATTATTAGTGTTTTAGTATTTTAAAGTTGAGTGATTTTAAAACAAACTCGCATACAAAATATTTAAGTCAGCAGTAGTGAGAAGTTCAGTAATGAAATAGGTTGGTTAAACTGAACGAATCATCATCACTATTCAGACGTTGGAATATTTATTTATTATATTTAGATAATGCCAAACAAGACCAATGACAAATTTAACTTTTCTTACCTGACTTTCTGCAGACTCTAAGGAACCAAACTATCATGACTGAGGGATGCAATCACTGATAATTTTGCCAATGTGTGTTGAAAAATTCCACATAGCATGTGATTCACATTTTAATGTTTACGACACGAATTTGAGATTTTATAATGTGAGATGGTTTGTTGGATGATCCTGGTGATATCGTCTTTCTGTAGTGCGTTATTTTAAATAAACAGCTTATTTGTCAGATCTCTAATAAGACTTTTTGACTTTAAACTAATTTATTTATACTTTCAATAAAAGTTTCAAACAGCAGCCTGACTAAACAGACTCACAGGTTTCTGTGAATGGACACAGACTCTCTATGAATAAAGTTTTATTATTATTGTGACTTAAGACACATAATGTGTTTGTGTGTGTCAGTGCATGCCAGACTATTATTTAATTTGTGCACTGATAAGCCTCAGTGCCTGTCACACTTGCATTTTATGTATCCCTGATAATAATTAACAGAGAGACACTTTGACATTGAATTGTTTTCTTATTGAATCCCAGGTGGAATAAGAAACTAAAGGACCAGTGTGTGAGGTTTACTACTATCTAGTGGTGAGATTGCAGATTGCAACCAACTGAAACCTCTTGACTCAACTGAGCGTGTAGAACTATAGTGTGTAAAAACACAAAAAGCCCTACAGCCAGTGTCTGGTTTGTCTGTTCTGGGCTAAGAAACACAAAGGTTCAACATGGCAGACTTTCTGGAAGAGGACCCACTCGAAAAAACAACAATTCTTAATTTCAAGTGACTATACACTAATGAAAACATACCTCTTAGCTTTTGTTTTTGTTGTGAATTGATTTTTTTTTGGTAGTATTTTTGGACACCCATTTATTAGAGCTCTGACAGAACAACACTGGCATCAGGTACATTTACACAAGAACTCAGCAGGAGAAAGAGGGGGAAATGTGTGTGTGGCGAGATATCCCAGAGCTTTTCACAGTTAAATGCCTCTTGCATTGAATAAATTATTTGTTGTGTCATTGTTGATGCTGCTTTAATTACCTAAGGAGAACAAAGAACTTCATTTGCCTCCACCTCTTTAGCTGAAATTATGATTTCTATAATGTACGTTTGACAATGACTTGGACAACTCCTGTCAGGACACCAATGTTCCACAGATTGTGTGTGTGTGTGTGTGTGTGTGTGTGTGTGTGTGTGTGTGTGTGTGTGTGTGTGTGTGTGTGTGTGTGCGCGCGCACGTGTGTGCGTGTGTGTGCGTGTCTCCAGTCACGTGAGAGATGCCAGGGAGGATGCACCTCTGTCTGTTGATGTCTGCAGACAGGAGACATGTTTGGACACGTTTGGACCGGTAGGTTAACATGTAGCTTCAGAGCCAAAAACACTGGATAAATTATAGTTTTAAAATCACAAATATTTAGAATTATAGGAACACAATATTGATTAATATAATGAGCTATAATACTATCCAAAGCCATGTGTGCTAAGTGGGCTTCCCTGAATGGGAGAGAACTGTGTGACATAGACAAGTATCTATACTGTCAGTGACTTATTTTCCATATAGACTGGTTCTGGTTGCCTTCACTGTACGTAAAAGCACTTTGTAATGTTTTCTCTAGAAAGCTGCATTACTTACTTATATGTTAGCTATGTTAGAAGCTGTGTTCTTTCTAGAAGCTTGACCTTTCTACTATCACAACTCTTTTACATCAGCTTCATGCCAGACAGGTCATATGCGCTCACCTTGTCTGAGCTTGTCTGATGAAAACCAACATATCATTGTATGCATGTGGGGTGATGAAAGCAGTAAAAGCATACACTACCATGTGTGGGCTGGAAAAAGAGCTGAAGGTAATGCTCAATCGAACGTTAAACTTGATGGAAATTGCAGATGCTCTTGATAATATTTGTCTAAAATATAATTCATGCTTTATTAACTTTTAACAACATTATCAAACTAATTTATTTACTATATAATTATTAGTCACTCAATTTGTGATATTTGTGAGATATTGAAGGAAGGAATTGAAACACCATAATAATAAAAAACAAGTTAAAATACAAGAAGCGTAAATATATGTATGATTAAAACACATTAGCAGTATAACTGAACAGATGAACAATAAGAACAATAATTTACCTACATTCCTGTTCCGTTCATTTTCTGGTATAAAGAGTTTGGTGAAACTGTAGGGGAAAATTTATACAAATAAATTCGTATAGCACTTTTCAAAACAGTTACAACGGGCTTTACAGAACAAGATAAAAAAGCAAAGTCAAGATCAAACAAAAAGATGAATATAAACATAGAACTCTTGAGTAATTGCCAAAAAATCAACCACCAAAACCTAATTATTCATCTTTGAGTCCAAGTTGATGATTTAAGAAATTCCCTGGAGACGTTCACAAGAATGGGACAGACCCCAAAACATAAGGCAGCCATAGCTATCGCTGCTGTGGAAGAATGATAAGTGATTAAGGGGAATAGAAACTGACATATGGGATTATTTTTACTCCTTTTGATAAGCATATTGTCCCTTGATTTGTGACGTAGTAGTTTGTTCCCTCACATACACAATAATCTATATTTTATTAACGCAGTATTAGGTATAATACAGTAATTAAGCATTTATTTATTATGCAAGACCTCCTTGTGCAAAGACTGTAATCACTTGTAGTCAATACCTCAAAACAGTATGTCATATTATTAATTACCTATCACTAGTTACGCAGTAATTAGTAGGAACAACAATTAAATTACTTACAAGGCCATTAAGCAGTTTTACATATTTACTGTACATTAGTAACATTATGTAGTGATATTATGTAAGCTAGCAAGAAGCCAGCAATTGTGTCATTTTAATGCATTTAGTCCTCTTTTAATCATGTTCAGTGGCAGAAAAATAACCAAAGAAGTCTGATATGGTAGCATAAAGGTGCAACAAGCTCAGTTGTGATGATGAATGTTGTAGCAGCATCTCCCTGTTGGCAGTTTAACACAAATAACAAGGATTTGTTTTCTGCAGAGGGTGAACTTTTGTAGATGCAGAATTTACAATTCTTTCATCAATTCATAACTTGATGTGTTGAAGTGTTAAAAATGTTAAAAGTCAATGAAATGCTTTTAGTCATATTCCTAATATTAAAACCAAAAGTAGCCTTTAATCCTTCCCTCTCTGTGCTCCGGCTGTGGTTCAATCCAAGCTCCAAGGCAGAGAGAAGCTCTCCTTCTCCAGATCTTTGCGAATGACTGATGTGAATTTGGCCTGTTGCTCTGAGCTGAAATGGTTTTTCCAATCTCCCGCAACACCTAACATAAAACACACACACACACACACACACACACACACACACACACACACACACACACACACACACTTTATAATGATAAAGAACAGAAATCTAAAAATGCAATAAATTTCATAGAGACTGAAAATCCATTAACATCTTACTCCTAATAACCCAGTTTGAACATCAGGGCTGTACCAAACTGACCTGATCAGCTCCAACCAGGATGACGTTTCAGACAGACAGACAGTTAAAGGCAGCACACGGACCCTCACCTTTCCTAAGGAATGGAGATTTGTCGCTGTCCATATATATCTTTGGGACCAGGCTGAAGTTGGACATGTTGTTGGTCTTCATAGTCTTGAAGGAGCAATGCTCTGCTATCTTCTGGATGACTTCGTCACTCAGCTTGCGGCCCAGGAAATCTGACATCCTCCTGAGAGCTGCAGGAAGGTCCTAAAAGAGGAGCATGTGGACACGTTTTTTTCAGGTGTATGCCTTCATCTTATGATGGTCACTCTCAAATGAAGAACTTTCTACATTATTGGTATGATGAGGGTCCATTGTGAAGCCCTGGATGTCGAGCTCAAGTTTGACAGGTAACATTTAAGTAGCATTGGTGTGGCTTTATTAACAGCTAGACTGTTAAGACCACTACCGTGGTCTACACAGGCTGGTTGTTCGTTGTAGCCCTAAAGTAAACACACACACAGAGTAAGACACAGACTGAAACACAATATTAGGCAAAGGAAAACAAATGGAACAGACGACTGCTGTTCTAAGAAACAATGTGTTTGTTGAACAAGAACTTTAATGCAACTTTAAAACGACTTTTACCTGAACCATTTCTTCATATGTGATGTACATTATTCTGTCTCCCAGGTCTGTATGTCTCCAGCCCTTCACATGGTCTGTCCATTTTCCAAACAGCACTGCAGACAATACGGACATTAGACCTCAGTGTAAATGCAGTCAATCACTGCTCTATTTTTGGCAGTAATAATAAAGATGACTTTGCCTTTCATAGACTATCCACATCCAAAATCTGTTCACACCGTTTTGGTAGTACACCAAAACGTTGGACTCTCCTACTGCTGAAAGTCATACATTTCCTCTACACTCTATGTAGGATGAGACTTCTGACCTCTGCCCTCGAGGAATTTGTCCATGAACTCCTCAAAGGTTCCTGGATCCTGGAGGAACGCGGCCATTTGGTGGAAGTAATATGAAGAAACCATGACATCCATAGGGTTCCTCATGACGTAAATCACCTATGGCAGAGACACAAGAGACTAAATTAATAACATACAAGTTGAAATGTCTATTAAATATGAATTATAAGATGACACCATGTTTGAACAAAGACAGTATGAATATAAAATCCTATTCTGTTGTCACAGAAACAGTAAGGAGCTCTTCTCTAACATAGATTTTTGCCAGAACAAAAAACAACAAGAAGCTCCAAGATGTTCCATGAGATATGGACCCAGAGGTTGAGGGAGATTCTTGCTGATGACATACTTGCACAGAAGACAGGTTCACACAGGAATATCTCACAAAGATTCCACCCATTTACCTTAGCTTTGGAGGCATGAAAGGAGTGAGGCATGAGGCGGTAGGGAAAATGTGTAACCAGTGCCCGTGGAGACTTCAACTGATCCACAACCACTGCTAATCTCTTCTCCTCCAGCCAGGGAGCCCTGTCCCAGTTAGGGATTGTTTGAATCGGAGTCAGATCCCCATCATTAAGCAACAGTGGGAGGATCTCCTGCATCCAGGCTGTACCTGCGGAAAAGAAGTAACAAATGAGACTGCTGCAAGTAACGAAAGAAACATTATATGTTCAAAATCAGGCATCTTCAGAGTCTGACTGTGAGTTCCCAATCAGACAAAAACTTGGATCTTGGGGGTTTTTGCCCACATTTGTTTATATTTTGGCAAACTAGCACAATTAAAAGTATGTGGAATTTGCTATTAGTTTGTAATAATGTACAGAGAACTATCTCTGCATTACTTTGATACTGAAGAAAACTTAAAATATGATAATCTCCGGTAAATTATGAGGTTAAATGAAAATATGAGCTGAGCGATGAGATATTGGTGCCTTCACAAAGCAGTTCCCCTACAGTCTAAAGGGAAAATACTGTCTGCAATAGCGTTTACAAGTAATTTCTAAAACATTGTGAACCTTGGATTTGATTTAGAAGTAATAAAAACATTCTATGAGCCAATGGCCACAAAAAGTGGCTCCCAAAGACATAAAGTCTGATTCTCTGATAAAAATCCAAGAGGGACTGTTGTCATAACTGTCCAAAAACTGGAACGGGTAACACTGAGGCTCCATAGTTTTCAACCCATTGTATGCTGGGACAGTCTCGGTTCCCATGGTCCTGAATAGGAATAAGGAGGAGATATCAGTGAATGAACAAAAGACCACATTCCATTTTAAGCAGATGTCATGTCTCATGGGCCACACAACAATATGTACTTATGTTACCCCGACAATGTAAACAGTTCTCAGTCTGCTTTTTTTTTCTTTTTCTGTCTTTCTGACCCGATTGTAAAATATGGATGTTTCTGCCGAAATATGTCAAAATCTACACATATTTATTGAAAAAACCCTCCTTAAGCCATTTGGAAATAATGTCAGAGTGGGTCACCAATGTGTTTCACATGCAAGGAAGACTAATTGTGGTTAAAGAAAATCACATGGCTGAGCCTAATTTAATTTAAAAGTATAGTGAGAACTCTCATTCACCTTCACTACCATTCATATGCGGGAAAATCACAGAAGGGTCGGAGGAGTTGATGCAGTGTTAGTCTATATGCAATGCCAGACAACCTCAGCGCCTGACAAACATGTGGGAATTTCAAACTGCAAAGTAGTTGCTTGAACTGCGATGAGAATGGTCGGACACACCTAACCTGAAATGATGCTCTGTATTGAAACTGGAGATATAAAACACTGAAAGGGGATGATGCAATACAGGTTTTTTTTATATCTAAAATTTTTTCCACCCTGTTTTGGCAACAAAAGCCAGAAGAAAGTCCTCAGTCTCTACTGAGCGTTTAGTGTAATAGTTTCTGAGGCTGCTGCCATGTTGTGGACATGTAACGGTTTAACTAGTCAGTTGTATGTGGAAAACCTTCCCAGGTGTGTACTTGCTGCAGTGGGGTTGATTAAAGTTGACACTAATACTCTACTTTTCCATGCTTTTCTTTGTCTTATATTAACATGGGCAGAGGCTCAACATGTTGCCAAGGATAGGAAACGATTCTGGCAGCTGATTGTGGCCTCATGTCCCACACGGCACGAAGAGCATTAAAGAGTTACTTGCTGACCTCTAATGGTTCAACTTGTTGCAGTGATTTACATTTACACTTGAGGGCAGCGTGACATCACTGTTGGGTGTGTAACAGGTTAAGTTAGTCTATAAGTTTATATATATATAAAATACAAGAGTACATCAGAAAAATGGCCACAAAGGATGAACTGCTAAGTGAATGTCTCAGGCAACAGAAACCCAATAAGAGTGCAGAGGAAGAGGAGCAGACAACCTGGAGGGACAAGCCCCTACATGGCACGTACCACCGCCAAACTGAAGAAGTGGCTGATATCAAGAAGACTTACCAATGGCTGGAAAAGGCTGGACTCAGAGACAGCACAGAGGCACTGATCATGGCAGCACAAGAACAGGCCCTAGGTACAAGAGGCCAAGATCTACAAGAGTAGATCTGACCAAAGGTGCAGACTATGCAAAGATGCCTCTGAGACAGTCCAGCACATAGTAGCAGGGTGTAAGATGCTAGCGTACATGGAGAGACACAACCAAGTGGCTGGAATAGTGTACAGGAACATCTGTACCCAGTATGAAATAGAAGTACCCAAATCCCAATGGGCCGCACCACAGAAGATGGCTGAGAACAACAGGGCCAAGGTGCTGTGGGACTTCAGCTTCCAGACTGACAAACAGGTCCTGGCTAACCAACCAGACATAGTGGTGGTAGACAAGGAGCAGAAGAAAGCGGTGGTGATAGATGTAGCCATACCAGCAGACGCCAACATCAGAAAGAAGGAACACGAAAAGGTTGAAAAGTACCAAGGGTTGAAAGAACAGCTGGAGCAGATGTGGAAGGTCAAGGCGAGCGTGGTCCCCATGGTAGTAGGAGCACTCGGGGCAGTGACCCCCCCAAACTGGGGGAGTGGCTCCAACAGATCCCAGGAACAACATCAGAAGCCTCAGTCCAGAAGAGCGCAGTCCTAGAAACAGCTAAGATACTGCGCAGAACCCTCAAACTCCCAGGCCTCTGGTAGAGGACCCGAGCTTGAGGATGACACAGATACCACCCCAAAAGGGTGAGAGGGAAGAGGACGTTTTTCTTAATAATAATATATATATATATATATATATATAAATGAAATGCCTTTTTAACCCTTTTAGATCACATCCCCCCGGTATATTGTGCTCCAATTTAACAATGTAATGCTCAATGTGTCGTTAAATCAAAATAAAAAAAAAAAATTACATATATAAGAAAAATATATATTTTATAGAGAAACTATTTTCTGGCTTTTCCCTCTTATGTCCTCTATGTCTCAAATACAATAAAAAAACAAATACCATCAGGCAGACAGGGGCCAGTTTGATGACAGTGGTTGCCGAGTACAGGGTGATTTATATGGAGTTTCCTGATGGACATACTTAAAGTAGCTAACTGAAGCGAACTGTCATGTCTTGTCAACTTTTGTCAACCACGCTAGCCATGCTACCCTTAGCTAACTCAGCCCCAGGGTGCCAGGAGCCATTTCCATTTCCTGAGGACTTTATGCCATATTTTGCACTGGACATTTTACACTATTTCCTGATCTTCACAATATGTGATAAAGTAGCCTCCTCCTCTCTCTCTGCTACAAACTAGAAAATGAGTTGACCCGCAGCATCTGGAGGTAAAAATGGCTCATTTTAAAAAGGTAAAAAACATAATCATTCTAATTTACAGGTGTTTATACACAAATGAAAACATGCCTATAAATATTCAATATCTGCCAATAGATCCTCAAAGTTCCACAGTGGACCTTTAAGGAGTTAATAATTAATAATTCCTTGAGTATAACTGAGGTGTAGTAGAGTAAATCTCAGTCACATGACAAACATTTTTGAACCTGGTTTTGGATCTGTTCCACAATAAATACATCAGGACTTTCAGTGAGCATGCAGCTGGGGCCCCAGTTCACTTTTGCCCCATTGACAGTTGCCCCCGCACCTCAGACAGCCTACATCCGCCACTGTTTGGAGTCTCAGCCAACTGTGAGGCAAAGTATATAAAACACAATATATAACTGGAAGAAGGTGCCGTGTGCTGACAGAAAGGGCTCCAGGACACAGGAGCAGCACTCCAATGGGACCAAAAAATAAGTTTGTAGTTTGAGTTTTTATCGTAAAGCAAACACAAGCTGCAAAGACTGACCTGACTTCGGGTATGTGACAGTCACGACGTCTTCGTCTTCAAACGTGAATTCCTGAACAAACTTCAAGCTCTCTAAGGAGTGAGTCTCTTTGGGAAGCAGAAGTCCATGATAGTGCAGATACATCTCTTCATCAGACATTATGTTGGGAGGATTTTAAAGCATCGGTAAAATACGGCTCGGGTGTCTCTACTGCTGCGTTCAGGTCATGTGGGAAAAATGTAGTTCAGAACATAATATGCGCACAATAAAGACCAAACAAAATACCGATATACACTTCCAATTTTGAGCTTGTAAAATCACCACATTTATAATTTTTTTTCTTGTTATTGATTTGCATCATTCTGGTGCTTTTGTATGACATTATTATTACTTCTAGTAGTTTGCTACTGAAGCACAAATGCTTTAAAGTTTCGCATCTCTTCAGTAAATAGACAATTAGTACAGCGTCAGTTTCGTTATCATTATTATTATTCTATCCTAGCAAAACGAACCGATAAATGCACAATAACCATTTTAAATATAACAATTCAATTTTACAACAGCTACCACCAACTTTCCAAAAGGGACCTGAAGGTAGCACAGTACTTCCTCCTGATCCGTACCTGGTAATGCCAACCTGCACACACACTGATCTCTTACCGCATTGGACACACAAACACAAACACAAACACAAACACTGTATGTTGTTTTTTGAGATTATGAACTACAGGCAGAAAAATATGTTGGCACATTTAGTTTGATCCATTATCTATCCTTCTATCCACTGTCCACAGCATCCTGATGTTAGAAGCACCTGTTCCACAGAGACACCTGACACTAGTCTTAATGTGTGTCCATTTAATTCAGTGATGCAATGGTGGACTGGGTGTCTCTTTTACTATTTGTATTAACAAAACAATTCAAATGAATACATAAGAGCTATTGAAATTACCTGAAATATCCATGTCGTCAGTCCATGTAAAATGGTGAAAATGCCACAAAGTGAAAGACTAAGAAGACACAGAGACCTGAACATGCAATTATTCAGCCACTCTTAAAAAAAACAAGGCTTGCAGTAGCTATAGACTTATATCCAAACTTACTTTTAATTCTAAGGTCTAGGAAACTTTGTAAACAACTTTTACAGATTCTGGACAGCAATGAAATCCCAGTGTGGTTTTAGTTTGAGGCACAGTACTGAAACTGCCCTGCTCAGGGTTTTAATTATATTTGACTAAATGTTCAGTCCTGTTGCTGCTTTCAGCACTGTTACTGTTCTTAGTAGGATTCGGCAGTGGTCAGATATGACAGTGAATGCTCTTGACTCCTATTAGTTTCTCCCCCTTGGTTTCTTAATTTGTCAATTTAAGTGAATTTCTTATCGTAGTGATGCTGCAGTGATTCTCTCTACCCTGCCAGACTGACTGACAGCTATCAAGGACTGGACAAAAGTCCTCGTCATAGACCTTGAGAGCATTTCTGGTCCTTTAGTAGCACATGTTAAGTTAAAGTTAGTTTGACGAACAAATGAACTCTGACTGGCACATGAATGGTCCAATCCTGTCCTTTTGTTTCCTCCAGTCTTGATTATTGTAATTCACTGTTCATCAACCTGAGTTGCTCTGCTGCGTTTTGGCTCCAGTTGGTCCAAAAGGGGGTTGCTGGACTTTTAACTACACACATTGTACACATTACACCAGTGTAGGTCAGTCTACACTGACTACCCATTGAATGTAGACTTGATTTTAAAATGATTTTAATCACCTGTAAAGAACTACAAAGTTTATCTTTCTGAATTATTGTGTCCCTGCCCTCAGTGAGATCTCAGACCAAGGCCGTCTGGCTGTCCTGAAATCTGGGCTTAAAACCAGATGTGACCGCGCCGAGCAGTGTGGCTCCCACTCTCTGGAACCGTCTTCCCCTAGCTATAAAAAACACAGTCAGTCGGTAGTTTTGAGAAGTTGCTAATAAGTTCCCCGTTTCAGAGGCACTTTGTCTGTAATGTGTTTCTGTGTTCTATGTAGTTCTCTGTTTGCCCTCTGCTTAAATTTCTATTGTTTTTATTTCTATTATTACTTCCAGTTTTAACATGTTTGCACTGGTACAGCACCTCGTAACTTTGGTTTTGGCTTTATAAATAAAGTTGACTTACATACTTCTGATGCTGCTCACCCCTGCTGTACCTGCATGTTTTTGGTGCTCTCACCAGATTGAGAGTCCGTACATTACTTTTATGATGTACCATGGTGAATTTACGTGTATTCACATATATGCTGCCTCTATCTGGAGAAAATATGGACAAATGCACATAAATCATGCTACATCCCCTAAGCATTAGTGGGACAGCTGAAAGGAGACAAGTAACAGATATGAGAATTAATACACTGTACCTGACTTGGGGTAAGTCACAGAAAACACATCGGTGTCTTCCACAGAGAAATTTTGGGCGTACTCCAAGCTCTCCATGGTATGAGCCTCAGTGGGCATGTCAATGCCACGGTAATGAATGTACTCGACGGAGGACATGGCGATTGTGCTTGGCTCAGAGGTGTAAAGCTCTGCACGGGGTTAGTCTGGCAGCCTACACGTTACTCCTTCCCTCTCTCTCTCTGAGGTTGTTCTGGGAGTTTCTCCTGTTATACAGCCCCTTTTGCAGCTCTAGCTGACAGGGATTGTGGTCAATCACATACTCTTAAATTTGTTAAAAAAAAAAAAAAAAAAAAAAGTGTGGGATGCTACCCGATCCTAGAGTCACACCTCTCTAATATTCATTGGATGTCAAAAGTTCAGGCTCACTCACTGCAGCCTTCTCTCTCTAACAAGCAACCACTCACAAATAGCTACTGCACAAACAGTATGCAGTGTGTATGTGTATTAGGTAACAGCAAAGCCCATTGTGGCAGTTTAATAATAAGAACCTTGTTGGACTGAGGCCCCAGCTGAGAGAGGAGGAAGAAAGAAGCAGAAAATGCAGTCAGTGTGAGCTAAACTAATGTAACATGGAGAAACATGAGGTGTAATAACAGAGGAGTGTTGTGTGTGTGGAGATGGTAGAATAATCCAACAGAGCAGACCAACACATACAAATCTCATTTATTTTCACCTTTAACCTTTTGTGATTGTGAGTTCTCTCAGGTTTTCTCAGACAAAGATGATCCCGTGTGACAGTGTGATGGTATCACTTTATGTCTGGTTCCTTTGTGTTCTGATTAAGGAAAATCTCCCATTTTGACCGGTGTGATGGTGAATGTGTAAAATTGCAGAGACAACAGACAACTTCTATAAAAAGTGGTCCTGTTTGGTGCAATACCTGTGGAATTTGAATAGTTTAATTCACTACACATGACTCAGATTGAATTTAGATTCTTTCAGAAATAAAGATTTTTGCAGCATTCCAATCTGATGACAATTTATCCTAATCTTATAATTTTAACAAGATAATTGCAGACGTTTTGTAGAATGAGAAACCAAACTAAAATGTCCAGTTAAAAATCCTTCCTCGCTTCACTGTCCCTCCTGAGCTGCTGTAGGAACATGGTGGTTCAACATGGCAGACTCTATAAAAGGCGAGCTGCAGTGTCTGACAATATAAACGCTTTATTTACAACAATAGGGGCTCCTAAATGTAACACACTGGACCTTTAAATATAATTTCAGTTTTTTGCCTTCATGCAAGAGGCAAATGGTTTTCTCATTCTCATCATCACAGAAAAACAAAGGTGAAGGCTGTTTGGATATAGACTTCACTTCTCACTCTGTTCACTTTGCCCTTTATTTCATTAATCTCCTGTTCCCCACACACACTGCTCACAGGATTTTTACTTTTGTTTGTTTTTATTTTCAAAAGTCTCTCCAGACCATTAATCTATTTGTCTCCCTTATCTTCAACCCTCCTATTAAGTGTTTTCACTCCCTCCTGAGGGAGGGAAGGAGGGAGCGCTCTCCCAGTGTCTCTTTGTTGAGTGTAATCGTAGAAGTGTGAGAACACAGTGAGAACTAAAGAAACAAGAAAGAAACTAAGCTTGTGAAACGTTCCTTATTATAATGAATAAAATAAAAGAGACCCATTGGAGACAGAGTTCCAGTGGATTTAAGGAACTCTTCATTTAACTGTTCAATATTATAAGAAACAGTTGGGATTAATGGTTTTAGATCTCAACATATATATTTTTTTTTCTTATGACCACCAAATAATAATACGTGAGCGGCGCCCATGAGCAGTTTCTTGGCGTTGCCACTGGACACACAATCTTGTGACTTTGGAACAATTATTTTGTAAACTAAACATTTGCTTTTTAGGAGGCAGAAAGCCATTGAGATAACAAATCAGCTTCCTCCCCTCAACTGACAGGCTCTCTAGCCCTCCTGTTATCCTTTATTCACACCAACAAAATAAACCTCCAGAAAGTGATTGTAACTAAAATAGTTAGCCGAGTTTATTCTCCATCTCGTTGTTGACTACCTGAATTAAAACCTAACTAGGGTCTCGTTGTTGACTACCTGAATTAAAACCTAACTAGGGTCAACCCCAACGGTCTCATTCACATCAGAGGAAGATGTCTGATAACCAGGTTCCTCCTCAACCTCATCCTCAGTCTCAGACACATTCTCCATTATGTCACTTTCACTGTTAAAGACCAGTGACAACCTCACTGGCAGAAAACCTTTGCTTAGGTAATTTGCAGTAGAGAGAGCATTAAGAGAGAGCACTAACAAGAGAAATGGTCAGAAGGCTGCTGTGTAAGCTTTACTACGTTGTATGGATTAGATTTTCCCCCTCCTCTGCGACATGGGAAAAAAAAAGTTCAGGGGTTCTCGACACTACTACAACTATGGTTATGTTGCCTCAAAGCATACAATGTTTTTTTAATAATAACCTCAATATCAGCCAAAGCAACCTGCACATATGTGTGCAAAATGTTCATTATTTCTTATACGTTTTATACATCTACAACAGCCTGAGGTCAAACTGACCTCAAAGAACATTAAATAAGAAAAAGCTGTTAAATATGAAACAAAAAGACATTGAGAAGTTAAACATTATACTTGAAAATGACCCCAAAGACAACAAGAGGGCTAGTGAGGCATTTACCATCTTGCTTTTAGATAAGTAACTGGTCAGATCTAAACACATGAATATAAAGAAAGAAATCATGCATCTGGTTTAAGCCTATAACATTTTAAGAGAAGGTTTTAAACAAATCATTCGTGTCAATCACTGAACACTAAAATGGTCTGATCAATCACAACTCTGAGGGCAAGATAAGACAAAAAGACACTTTAATGTAAAAATCACAGATGCTTACAGTTCAACATAATATGGTCATAATGCTGAGTGGACTTCAGTGTGTTCATACTGCGGGCGTCATTCAGTCTTTTGAGTTTAACGTTTAAGTTTTTAATACAATTTCCTCAATAATTAGACAAATCTTGCTACAGTTATGTTTTAACTACTTGTAATATTTACTTGTATATAAATAAATTGATAAATTTGAGGCAACACAATAAACCATCAGGGAACTATCACTGTCATTCATTTATTATAAATTCACTCTACTATTTAATCTGCGCAGTTACGCTGGCTCATTGAAAAACACATAGAAAAGAATGATGTTATTCATAAAGACTCAATTCATTTGTTGTCGCTCTGATACAAAATTCACACTTTAACAAAACCAACACAGCTTAGGTACGCCAATCATATACAGAAGCCTCCCGATGTCACAACTCTTCCTGCCGGACTGGTTAGCTTACCAGTTGGTAGCTTGTACGTTAGCCTGTTTTGTACGTCAGACCAGTCCAACTAGTCAATATCAACAAACATTTTTCAGTAGTCTGTTGGGTTGGGTTTTGATAGTAAGACTGAAATGGTATCAGGACTCAGCTTCTGATTTATGACAACCCCGATACAATCAGGACCAGAAAGACGTTGTTGTTGTTGTTGTTGTTGTTGTTGTTGAAGGCTTATCCTAAGGTGCTGAGTTTTACTCAGTTGCTGTGGACCAGAGTGACAAAGAGGAACAGCGAGCAGAGAGAGATGGCACCGGTTAGAACAGCTTTCACCAACAGCACTGTCCAACTGCCCAACAGGAAGACATGAACAAACAACCTGAAGACACAGCAGAGAGAAACACAATGTTACAATGATAAACAACCAAACAATGCGTTAACACACACACAGACACACACACACACACACACACACACACACACAGTGAGTTTATTCAAGGGATTTCAGATATTCGGTCACCCAAATACCATGTAACTAAAATTGTAAGACAAAAAAGTCCACCACTTCCACTTACTCATGCATTCTTAAGCTTAGAGTTTTAAAATTCTTCCAGGTAAATAAACCACACAACAGGGATGTATGGTGGTATCATTTTGTTTATAACTTAAAATAAATAAGAATAACCTGGTGGTCTTCTCTTATTCTTTATGCACAACATCAAAAGCCTTTTAGAGTTTTCATGGGTTAGTAAGTGATGTGTGCTTAATTTTAATCACGCTAAATAGAAAAAAAATAGGAGGAGCTTAGTAAAGAGATTTAAAGAATACAATTATTTTACCATTTACTAATTTTTGCTTCATGTTCACAGAACTGTATACTGAATGCATCCACTACAGTAACCCATGTGTGTTCCCACGAACATAAAACGTACCTCATGCTCATGTTGTTGCTGTTAACTAGCACCATCTTGTGGTTAACAAAGTAAAGTGCAGCCAGCAAATATGCATATTTTGCATTTTTGTAAATACACTGACAGGGTTCACACTCTTTTTAAGAAATCATTTTCCAGGATGTTTTCTTGATAATACAGGACAGCACTTACTCACAGATGGTCACATGATTTACTGGTAGGCCTAGTTTTATTAATGATGCAGGATTCATGATAAATTCAGGTTCATTACAGGTGGTGAGCGTTTATGGGACACTGCATTACATGGCCACAGCTGGTTTTTGCGTTGTGGTGGAGCTGCAGTTTCCTGTAACATTAACTTTGTCACAGCCCATAAGTTACAGTGGAAATCAAGTATTATTTTATTGCTCAATTTATTTAATATAAAAATAGTGTTCTCACCTATCAACCTATCAAAAGAAGATGTAGGGAGTGATTGTTGCACATACATTTAACATGTATTTATCAACTGCAACAAATTAAAATGTTATCATTAATAAGCTGTTTTTTTAGCAAGCATATGACAGTCTACATAATTTCTACTGAGACATGATGCAGATTATCATACGTAGACTGTAAAGTGTAGGCTTCTGAGAGTTCTGGTTGCAGCTCGACGTGAACAGTTAGATTGCCAAAATGAGACGGGAGCCTTTTCCCGTTCTGCTTCAGTAAATCCACTTTTCACGACTGGAAAACTAGTCTCTAAATGTCCAGGTTTTCCAGGAGGCGTGAGACCCTGGACTTGCTCCCTTTCTTGTCAGAAGTTAGATAAGAAGATTGATACCACCCTAGAGCTAGACCTAGAGCTAGGATGTGGTTAGTGAAGTTTAGCATAAAGACTGGACACAGGGGGAAACAGCTAGCCCGGCTCTGTTCAAACGTACCCAAAGCTGCCTTACAACACTTCTAGAGCTCATTAATTAAAATGTTGTATTGTCTTTGTTTTTACCCCTGCAATTCAATTAAATGTTAAATAAAATCTTAATAAATACATCCTACCTGTTCAATTTGAGCCACAACTGTTAACTTTTCAACAATAACAGCAATGTCACATCCCTGAAGATACAGATGCTTTTGTATTCCATCTTTCTGTATACTGTATGTAGTAGGTCTGAAGGTGTGTAAATGTCAGAAGTGAGCATATGAGTGTGTGTAAAAGCATGTCAGACTTACTCCATTAAAAAGGCCTTGTAGACACAGAGAGCCAGCAGCACAGTAACAGGAAGCCTGAAGCTCTTAGGAAGGTCATACCGTGTGAACATCCACACCACTGCTGCCATGGCAATATAATGGACCTATAAACACACAGAAATAATTACTGGATTTAAATGAGATTTCCCATTGCCTTTTATTGTAATCCTTTCTGTAGACCAAAACGTGACGGCGCTTCAGAAAACACAGATTGACAGGAAGAGTCGAGGACAGACAGTTGGAAGCAGTGGACAGCTACTCACCAAGCTAATGTTAGAGTCAAAGCTCATCTGGATGTATTTCCAGTCAAACTCAATCCCTCTGGCTCCCACCCACAGGGGAAGACACCTGGAGAGCCACAACAGTGTGTTTACACACATACAGTCGTTTGTCAAAGTAAAGTTAATGTTTCTTCCGCAGTGTTACTGCTTACCTGGACATCACAAGTTCAGCTGTTGCCCAGCCCATCGCAGCCACCATGATCTTGTACTCTCCTTTCCCAGCATTTCTAGACATCACAAGATGAAGGCCCAACAGGTCCGCCAGGTCCACTGTTGCCTTCATAAACTCCTGGAAAACAAACACACACACACATTATTATCATTTTGCATTATGATAGTAAACAACATGACAAAGAGTGACATAAATCTTCCTTTCTGATGTTGTTACTATGATGGAGTTTCCACACTCACCCCAACAAAGTCATAAACTCCAGCTCCTCCTTCCCATGTGGGGAAAAATGTAGCTAGGAACAGCATCTGAAACACAAGAAGATCAGCAAACCCTGTTTACACACTCTGAAACACAAGGAAGCTAGTGACATCCTATATTCTGCTTTGTGCTTATTCATTTTAATCCAGGCACCTCAGCCTCAAAATGATAAAAGATGGTTTAATCATGAGAAAGCTCACTCACCTTACAGAGCTGGACAAACAGGTAGGTTGCTCCAGCCTGGACACATCTCCAGAAGGCATTGTACTCTGAACTAAATATTGGACACACAAACAAAAAGTTATTTATTATCATTATTATTATTTTTACAATTATCAAACAACCCAGTCCAGGCAGAAACTGGCAATTTGGGATGCAATTGTTTAAGACTTGAGTGCAATAATAGTGATAGAAACCAAAGTTACATTGGTAAGCAAAAGTAACACCAAATTCAAGAGCACACCGCACAGCTCTAAGAAGATTATGTGGACCCCTCCCAAACCTCTGACATTACTAAGCAGATTATTAACACTTCTTAGTCCGAGCATATGTTGCTACGACCTACAAATACACAAGAAACCATGTAACAATGGTGTAAAACTGTTTTGACAGTAATTTTCTAACATGGTTCAACACAGTATTTTACTTTCAACCCTTTACTCAAACTATACTTCACTGGCCATGACAGATCTGAGGATATCATACAGTATATTATCATGCATCACTCTGCACCCTTGTTTCAGATCCCTGATATAAACACACACACTTACAGGCCACTGCACTTGTATGTTATAAAGTAAGGGAAATACGCCAGGGCAAAGCAGTTCCCGAAGTGAAACAGTGTCATGATGTCTGGTCACAGAATTCAGCTCCCTGGAGAGAAAGAGAAATGATTAAATTGGTCATTGTTACAACAAAGCCACTAAACCAAAGATATCGTGTTCAATCTACAATCATATAAAACAGAGAAAGCAGCAAGTCCTGGCACTTACAGTAAACCCAGATAATGTAGCATTCAGCCTGCTCACTGGCTTAAATGATTCATTTATTATCTGAAGTGATGCTGGTGGATTTTTCTGTTGACACTTTGCTTAACTTAATGGTTTCAGTAATTGTATGACAATTAGTTGCTGACATTTTCATTAAATATATATAAATATATATTCTTGAATGTACAAAAACAGCTGTACTTTATTAAACAGTCATTAACAGGTTTAGATGATGTTACAGTGCCGACAGAGAGAGCTAACTAATCATCACCGAGCGCTACTGAGAGGTTTGGCAGGTGTCTCTTTGACTCAATGTGCGGAGCTATAACGTTACTCTGTTATATTATATCATTAAAGAAATTAATAATGTGTACATTAGCTGCTAGCTAAGCTACAATCCCGTCACCAGTGTCAGACACGTTCCTGCGTCAAGCTAACGAGACTTACGGATCATTTCTTTTTGCCGAGTTTAACTACAAAGATAACTTTTATTCTGTCTAAATGTAAAACATATGGCAGCACCTTTAAAAGAGAGCCTTTGGTGTCAGTATTTACCGTTTGAAGAGCTGAGAAAGCTGCCGTGCTCTCGCTGAATGAGGAACGGAAGTGAGCTTGGCTTCACCTCGAAATGCTTCCGACATCTCCTTCTTCTTTGTTTGTTTTTGACGGAACGTAATCTCAATGTACAGCTTCATACCGCCACCTACCGTACCGGTGTATGCACTTTATTGTTATTATTATTTACATTATTATTATTACATTATTATTATTTACATTATTATTATTATTATTATTATTATAGTCTATGAACAACATAATAAATAAATAGACAAAAAAAAAAACTTAACAATCCTGTTTATTAGGAAATCCTTAAGCTCTCTTTATGCCATATCTATTTGTTCCCAATATCCCTTCTAAATCCCATCCTGGTCCAGCCTCTCTCCCCCTTTGTTGTAATCGTCCCCTCTATTCATTATATTTGATACAGTGTATTAATACATTGTTCAACATTTTCGTTTATATTACAGTGCACATATACTTGTGAATTTACTTTACCCAATGAAAATAATTTAAAACAGTGTAATCAAACCTTAATCTAGATATAACTACCTCCTCGTTTCCATTTCCTCCTTTAACACTTTGTGCTCTTACTGTTTTTTGTATTTTATTGTATGTTCTACCCAGGCTGTCTCCATCTCACCTTTTTGGCCAAATGTCAGATATTTCCTTTTTGATTTGTTCTTTACCTCCCCCTTCCCCAAATTAAATGTCAATTATGTGCCTCATATTAGATTTAGCATATATATAGCTGTATAAACTGATTCCTATATGTATTTGAAATTGAAATAGACTTCTGTTCCTACATGGTCCCTTTGATCTTCTGATCTGTTAATACCTGTAGATAATTATAAAAATGATTTCTTATATACTGATTTTCACAGTGTCCTATTTTATTTTCCATTCTTCTGACATGCCACCGGTAGGAACTTAACAATGTGTTCCACAAGATGATTTTCTCTGCTGTCAAATAAAGTGTTAAAGGGCTTCATTTCATGTAATATAATACTAGTGTTAGGATTAAATGTGGGTGAGTTATAAGCATTAAACATACTGGTTACCATTACCATACAATCAAACTGTATTGAATTTTTTTTTATTATATAGAATATACAAAATATATAATATATTAAATATCTAAGTAATGAAAATGATTGGCTTGGAAACAGGAGGTTTGTTACAGAAGATTTCGTTGTAAACGTCTGGATTTTCTCATACTTTTGCAATTACTTTCAGGTGGTTCTTGAACGGAAATGTCTCAAATGTCTGACGATAACCTTTATAACTAACAACCATAAAGGAAGGACACTGTGAGACAAACCCTGTTGCAAAAACCCAGACAGTCCCTTATAATCCTATTAACACATGAAACAATTTTGCTAAATGTCTTTATTACTTGTTATTACCAAAACTTCTATAATATTCCGACATTAACATTTACATGTATCCGAAACTTTAAATAATGTTTAATGTTCAACTACAGAATGACACCCAGCAGCTGATCAGCGAGCACACAGCACTGAAAGAATCCAGCTGGAGCAAGTAATGATTTCAATAATTACAGTTTAAATGAAAAGCTGGTTAAACTGACAATCTATAATATGTTTTGTCCATTTGAATTTCGACAGTGAAGACTACACAGTAATGAATGAAATGTCACAAAGAACAATAGAAAAAGTTTTTTTTTTCTTTTACCACAAAACATTAGGTCAAAGATTACATCGTCACTCTTCTGCGTGGAAATATTATTTCTCACTCCATCAACCAAGAAATATACATTTCTGAGTATCTAATCTGTTATCAATCTATTCATGACTATAATCACAACAAAACCTTATTAATATAGAATATAGTGCCCTATAGTAGAGAGAGCTCAACCTGTTAAACTACAGACAAAACAATAATAATATATATATATATATATATATATATTATTAATAACAGAGCACTGACAAGCTTTTAGGATTATTTTTCTTTATCTTTTTTTTCATTCTCTGATAGCAGTACTTTTTGTTTGTAGCAGATGAAGTTTCTTCTTTCTGAGCAGTCCCTGATGATCCAGTTGCTTGTGTCGTATTTGGACAGGGTCCCGCAGTGTTTGTCCAGGGACGGGCAGTCTGGCAGCATCCCATGGTCTACCAGCCTCTCTCCGTCCACCCACAACCACTTCCCTGCCAGGAAGCGCAGGCCCGTCCAAACCTGAGACACAAGGGAAGTTTTGAGTGTTTTATCTGACTGCTCCCACTCTCATTCTCTCATATCATGCTTGCTTATTTTCAGGAAGCTGCAGTTTGATAAAGCAATTAAATCTTGAATCCTAAGCAAATCACTGAAAGACGATGACTGATCTTCTATCTCACTAAACTGTGGTGTAAATGAAGCCATGCAGAATGACCCCAACTGCTGACGCTTCAAGTTACTTTTTTCTTAGCAAAATATGAATATTAACACTAAATGAGATATCAGACGAAAAACTAAATGCTTAACTCAGTGACAGCAAACCAGGTAATGCTGTTGTCTATTTGGGTTATCAAATAGCCCTTTCTTTTTTCAGTCATATTTAAGTTTAGTTTAAGTTATTGTGTATATTTATGTCCATCTCACAATGGATGTCATTTTCTGGAGAAACAAAACATTGTTTTGTGTTTAGTTACTAAATTCGTTTTTGTCCTTGTGGAAAAAACATTGATGATAAGGAACTACCTGTATGATCACTCATTCACCTTCACTCACCCTGAAGGTTATTTACTGAGGGTGAGCGGTGAATGTAGTTACCTGCACTGCTCAATATTTTCTATGGTATCCTTGTTGAACAGCTCTAACAAGAAAAGACATGTCCACACTCTGGTATTTAGCTGATGATCTTGAATTGCCTTTCAGTAAGTTGAAGTAGAAAGAAGAGTAAAACGATTCATGACATTAAAAATACACAATGGAGCATGCTACCCTTCAGTCAATAAACTGATACATTTAAAAGAGCATTTATAATTTGATAAATTGAATTTGCATTTAAATGATGCATTAAAAAAACTCAAAGTAAATAAAATACCAAGTACTAATTATATTATCCTTATCCTGTCTTTCAATAAATTAGCAGTATTTACATTTTAAAAGAAAACTTTAAAAAACGGAAACTTTTCATTCCATTTGCTGTTGTATTTTTATTTCTGCATGCCTCAGAAAACTATAAAACTATGAGAGAAGGGAACATCACTTTTTGGCTGAATGGCTTACAATGTGCAACCTGTCACACCCCTGGCATATATGTAAACCCCACCATGCATTCTCAAACCTCATCGGTCGTGGCCAGTCTGTAGATCCTCTCTTTGACATAGCTGAAGTCAGACAAATATTCCAGGCTCACAAGGTTGTATCTGTTACTGCAGGACCCCGAGGAGCTCGCACACGGAGTTTCCATTTGCTGGCAGTAGCTCAGGGCATCCTCCCATGTCTTGTTCATATTCACCACCACCAGGTTGTCGATGCTGCAGAGGGGATTAAGCTTTTCGGAGCACACATTGCTTTGCCATTTTTCAGTGAGAGTGTCAAAAGAGGCACAGTCTGCATTGCTTGGCTCTCCTGGTGCCCAGTTTCTGTAGTCAGATGGCACGTCCCCGATCCACCTCCAGTCCTCACCAGGGTCTCGGTACAGTCCAATCCAACCATATTTCTTAATACCATCTCTGTTTATTTCTGTGATGGTTGCTAGCTCACTACTATTATTCTGACAGTAAAGAGAAGCGTTGTACCAGCTAAGGGCAATTTTGTGATGTTGAACTTTGTCTTGTACTGAGCAGTAGAAACCATTTTCCCTTGAACAACTAGTGCTGTACCACATTTGATCCTCATCTGACACAAACACACAGTGACGGTTCTGTGATCCATTGGCCCAGTTGCTGCTCTGTGACAAGTCGTCTCCTGAGATCCCTTCTCCGGTTCTGGAACACACCAATGATATCTACAGCTTAGCATTTTACCTCATTTATATTTTAAGATACTGAAATCAGCATAGAGATCATTTCAAACTGATACTCACTTTACATTTATCCACTTCCAGACTGACTCATCCTCAGGGTCTCTGTGGAGACCGATCCAGACTTGGTTGATATTCTCTTCCCTCAACAACTCAGTCAGCTGGCTTCTCGCTGTCTTTAAGATAGCCATGTCTTTTGTATTTTCCTGGCAGTACAGTCTGGCCTCTGTCCAGTCCATCTTCTTGTATGAAAAGTAAGTTGACTTTCTTATTATGGATGCCTCCAAACAAAGAGCAGCCATTAGCAGGAGGGAGAGTGTGAGTTCAGGGCTGTCCTTGTTTCCCATGAGTGCTCCTGTCTTCACGTCAAGTCAAAAGTGCGTTTGGTTGCAGATAATACCTTCAGTAGCCAGGTCAGTTCGTGGTGTCATCAGTGGCTGGTGCAGAGCAATCAATCTGCTCTTATAGACTACATACCTCACTCCAACATAGACACGCCTTGCCACATCCAACTGACCAGTACTACTTTGCCACATCACTCCAGTGTCCCAAGTTAGTCTTGCAAGCAGATTTTACTGTGTTTTATTTAATTATAATAACTTGAATTTACCTTTAAATTTCAGCTTGAAGATTTTCCATTTTTTTTCCAATCAGGTTTGAAAAAATAAAAAGTTATCTCCTCATATTTGTGGTGGAAAATGAACACAGAAGTAGGATTAAAAATTGGTGTGATGCTGATCTTTTTGTACATTTTGTCACAATAACCGGTAACCCTGCTGACACTTAATATGTCTCAGTTCCTCTCTGGCACAAATCAGTCATATCACCTTAAAGTTGGAATCCTTGAGATATCAGTCCTTACCACACTAACCCTAAGTGTGGTTTAATACTACAGCAAGCTGTAAACTTCCATGAATCCATGGTGGGAATGGTAGACTCCGCCACAAACAATGAAAACTACTCTAAAGAAATTAATTACAGACTGTAAATACATTTAATGGCTATTGCAGAAATAAACGTCATAAATAGCACAAAAATGGGATTAGATTTCATTAGAATGTTAAGGATTATTATAAATTTAATTCCAAGTGTTGCATTTCAAGGAAATCTAGTCAGTAATGTATCAGGAAAAATATAAAGAAGGTGGTAGAAGTACAAATACAAACTTGACCCAATCTTCTGAAAAGAAGAAAAAGAAGATCCATCTATCTCCTATCATGTGCAGCCACAGATCCTCACTGCTAGTGTGTTTTCTCACTGTGAAATACTTGAACTATTCAATAATACTTCATTAGTTTCTCCTCTCCAGCATTAAATGAAATCTCATCAAAATGTTCATGCAATAAGACCAGAGGAAGGACCAGAAATCACTGGATCTAATCTTCTGAGTAGCATGCTATATTAAAGCTTTAAAAGTTACATTTATAAAGTGGAGTGGTAAAAATAAACACAAAGAACCTTAGTGTTAGCTCGGCTTCAATTTGCTTTTCATGTCAGTTTGTGGTGTACTTAACATAACAAATGATGAGGAAAAGATGGACAGAATTTAAAAACAAAGTGGAACCAAATGCAGTCATGTGTGGTGCAGTGAAATGCGCTCTCCCTCTGCATCTTAAAGCTTCATTCAAATTTTCTACATTCAAAATTTTCCAGACTCCATGCTTGGATGGGGAAATCAGGCTGCAGGCAAATGATTGAATTTGAATCTTTTTAGTCAAAAGATGAGTTGATCAGTCCTACCTCAGCTTCAGTACGATGTTGTTAATTAAAGGTCCAGTGTGTAGGATTTAGTGGCATCTAGCGGTGTAGTTCCAGATCACAACTCCGTCGCCTACACTCTCCCCTTCCAAGCATGAATGAGAAATGAAGGTGGCTGTGAAACTTGCAACAAAAAAATTCAACACACCCTATCTAGAGGCAGTGTTTGGTTTTTCCATTCTGGGCTTCTGAAAGAAACATGGCAGTGCAACACGGAAGGCGACCCCATGGATGTACAAAGAGAACTGGATATAGCGTCAGAGGCCGTGCTCTGTTCATTTCTATCAAAGCTGCTCAGTGGCCACTGAAGCCAAAAAAGCCACTTCCTGCTGTTAAGAAATTATCTAGATGCATGATCTATAGGCCATAGGGGCCACAGTAGAACATGAAAACACCAGAGACTCCCATCTAGCCGACTAAATGTCTCAATGTGTTTTAGTCTAAAAGCTGAGCAGATGACAGCAGTCATCACACAAAATTTCTACACTATTAAGTAAGTTCATACTTATGTTCCATAGACCTCTGAAATGTGTTCCTATTGCAGTATGTGCAGTGAAACAGTAGGTGGCACTGCAGCAAAAGAGGGAGTAACTTGGCCATGGCGGTATAAACCAGAAGGGAAACAATTCTTCTATATAAGGATACAGCCCGCCTGCTGAGTCTTGCTGCAGTACCCTAAAAGAGGCAGCAGGTGGCTGATTAATTGACTATATTCAAATTTGAAATTATTAATAAAATAAATTAATACAATACACAGATGTGCATACAGTACTAAAATAGAACAGGATATTCCAGTGTCAATACTGCAAAAGTCACAAGACTTATTTCCATTGCGGTACTAAAGGCCCCCCTTCTGTGGCTGCTCCATCCTTCTCCCACCAATGTCTCCGACTAGAGAATGAAAAAATGGGGCGAATGGGGTAACAGTGGAGCCACAGTCCTTCTCCTTCTGAGAGGAGACATTGACTGATGTTTCCATTAAGTTGCCTACGTCCTGTTACAGGAGGTATAACAGGGCCCAGGGAGAAAAAAAGCTAAAAAGGCTTCAAGAATACAGAAGTTGTGAATTTGAATTTTTAAATCCACCAACACGTCCCTTCATCTTACTTCTCCCTCTGAAATTTACCCTATGGCTATTCACCCCTCTTTGTCCTTCGACCATTTGCTCTTTACACACATATTTATTCATAGTTATTAACTTTTATTTTTCTTAATTTCACTGCTGACAGTGGAGATTCAGACAGATAATGGAGAGAGAGAGAGAGAGAGAGAGAGAGAGAGGAGAGAGGGAAATGGGAACCATGAAGTTATATATATGTCCAACTACTAGATGCCTCCTTGTTATTTCAATGCATATTTTTTGTCCATGAAATGTGAAAATAAAATTGGAGTGCGTGGAGTAAATACAGACAAGAAAAATGTCAGAAAAGTGTGCTCTCAATTCAAGTGTGAGTTTTTTTTTTTAACCAGTAAAAAAGTGTGGCTATATTGTTAAATTGTTTTAATTTATTTGAATTTTATCAACCGATCAGTTGTAATGGAAGAGGTTCAAAGTTTTGGGGCTTCATAGGAGACAGTGAACAGATAATAATAAAACAAGACAACTTCACATTTGATGATTTTCAAGTTTTATTTCTTTGTCTCTTTACTCTTAAGCGGAGTTACAGTAGCTCTGCCTCTCAGCTTCCTCTTTCCACTGGTAATTAAGCCTTTAAAACACACCAACAGGGAGATGGATACAGTAGATACCATAGTACTGAGCCATAACGACACATCTAAAGTGGCAGTGGGAGGTGGAGAGGGGGCACACAGACACAAATACTGTCACCGACCGATCGTCTTGTCGTTAAAGGAAAAAACAGATAAACTCAGAACACTCAAACACACTGTTGCTGCTTCCTACGTATACTGTAGTAGAGCTAAGGGCTGTGATGCTATGACTTGGCTATGGGTGGGGGGCCTGTGTGTAAAAGAGAATGGAGGGGGTAGAGGATGGTTGGGGTGGTCCCTTTCCTGACTTCCTTTTTGGACAGGAAGTGTCTACTCCTTGGAGTGCATGTACAGAAGCAGGTCAGCAACACGGTGGCTGTATCCAAACTCATTATCATACCTGGAGAGAGAGGGAGGGAAAAGAAGAAAGAGAAATTGATCATTAGGGTTTAAAAATGCAAAACTTATTTTTCCTCTTTAAATTAACTTCCTGTGTGACCAAGACAGAAGAACTAACCAGGAAATGAGCTTGACAAAGTTGTCGTTGAGGGAGATGCCGGCACCAGCATCAAAGATGGAGGAGTGGGTGTCACCAATGAAATCAGAGGACACCACCTGCAGAACACAAATGGCACTACAAGTCAGATATACTGTAGTATAGCCAGGCACAGCTTTGGCAAAATATAAACTTAATGAGAGTCAGTCAGTCCTATTTCCACTTTTTCAGTAAAATGAATCACAATTAATTTAAAACATGAATGGACAAGAGCACATACCCCTGCCCTGACCTCTTTATCTCACCTCGCCCTATGATCACTAGCCATGTATTTGCTTTACAGTATATGAGAAGTAACTTTACCTGGTCCTCGGTGTAACCCAGCACTCCCTTCATGGGTCCATGTGCGGCCTTCTTGCAGGCTTCCTTGATCTCAGCATAAGACGCAGGCTTGGACAGACGGCATGTCAGGTCCACCACGGACACATCAGCCACTGGCACCCTGAACGCCATGCCTGTCAGCTTACTAGAGAGATAGGACGGACAAAAGAGACACATTGGACCTGTGTCACCTTCTATTTTGGTCTTTTCTTATCTTCTTAGCCACAGTTACAAAAGGTGCATCTGCTCATGAGGCTGATAACAAATGTGTTTGTGGTTACCCGTTGAGTTCGGGGATGACTTTGCCCACTGCCTTGGCGGCACCAGTGGAGGCTGGGATGATGTTCTGGTGGGCACCGCGGCCATCACGCCAGGCCTTGGCACTGGGACCGTCCACTGTCTTCTGGGTGGCTGTGTATGCGTGGACTGTAGTCTACAGAGAGGACATTCATATAAAACATAAATGACTCTGGCATACATTTAAAGCTACAAATACAGTCACAACACTTGTCACAACAGTGATTTAATACTGCTCATTGCAGTCAAAATGATTCATTTGTTCAGATTTAGTGTGACTTACCATGAGAGCCTCCTCAATGCCAAAGTTATCGTGGATGACTTTGGCCAGGGGGGCCAGGCAGTTGGTGGTGCAGGAGGCATTGCTATCAACAGAAAGACAGACATGGTCACTTACTATCACACTCCACTACATTCAGATCTCCTGACGTACATATGAACGCAATGGAACTGGTCGCCTAAATCTAGGAACATGTTTGTTAAAATTAAACATGTACAGTGTAAATGCATGTCTAAGACTATGGTCCGTTACCTGACGATGGTCATGGAGGAGGGGTCGTATTTGTCCTCGTTAACTCCCATGACAAACATTGGAGCATCAGGTGAGGGGGCGGACACAACCACACGCTGAGCTCCACCCTGGATGTGAGACTGTGGCGAGAGAGAAAGAAAGCACAGGTTATAAACTGGACCATCTGACTGTCTGCATATTTGTTTCAGATGTGTGTGTGTGTGTGTGTGTGTGTGTGTGTGTGTGTGTGTGTGTGTACATACGGAGGCCTTATCCACACTGAGGAAGACTCCAGTGGACTCGACAACGTACTTGGCTCCAGCACTGCCCCACGGGATCTCTGCTGGCTTCATACTGGAGTCAGAAACAGAACAGAGTCAGTCTAAGAAGAAATGATTCTCACTACGTTTAGTTATATAAAACTTGGTGGACAAAGACCTGAAACAGCAAATTACTGCAAAAGTAGAAATAAAAAACAGATTGTGAACAAGCATATAGCAAGAGAGAAGTGAAAACAGTACATCCTGTGATTTCTAAGTTCAGTGCAGAGCCTCTTTGGATAATGTCATACTAGTAATGAACAAAAGATAATTTTTTTTTATTAACACTTAGAATGTAAATGTTAATAGTCTTGCCAAAAGAGAGCAGATGGTGTGGTAAAAACAGGAGGCACAAGGAGGGAAACCTAACAAATTTACACTCAAAGAAGAACAGGAATGTCTCCTCTATAACCCCTCCTTTTGTTGGTATGGCCTTTTGCAGAAAGGAGGCCCATTCCTCAATGGACTAAAACAACAGCTGGTACAATGAGTGGAGGGGTAACTATACTGTATGTACTATACTGAGTGAGGCCTTAGGCAGCAGGGAGCCTCATTCAATTGCTTGGAATTAACTCTGGATATTAAAAACCAGGTCAAAAGGGCCAAAAATACCCATAAGACATTACAGATGAAATATTAAGTATGTAATAATTCAAACTAAACTCATAGATGGCTGCTTCTATTACAGAGAGCTTTCTGATTCAGTTAAAGTTTTGTATTGAAGTGGCACTTCAAAAATCAGATGGGTCTCTCTCTAGCCTCACTTAAACTTATTGCTACCACTTCACATCAACATCAATATCAACATTGCTGATATCTGTGAAACAGCCAATATCCACTAAACATCATCATCACTTACCACTGGAAGACAGAGATGGCATTACCATCCACGATGAGCTTGCCATCCTCTTGGGAGACCTCTCCATGGTAACGGCCGTGGGTGGAGTCATACTTGAACATGTAGACCTAGGAAACAGGAAAACAATGGGGTCTGAAGAGGCACGTGGCTTCTGGTTTTTTTCATCACAAAAATAAACTTAATTTTAAACACTATATTAACCTATTTCATTCACTGTCGCAACACAAATAAATAATAGTTTTCAGTTTTCTTGGAGGCTTCGGGAATCACTGGTGGTGTTGACTCCAAGCTTAACATCTGATAAAAATTACAACCGAAGGACAAATAAGCTAAATTGTTCAGTTTATGTATACATAAACTGTATAGACTATGAGTATTTTTTATTATTGTGCAAACCTTTTTTTCTACCCAAATTATAAGTCTGTAAATGACATTCATGCCATTGAAAGCATATTCAATTGAAATTGAAATGAAAATTGAGTGCTCCACTAGAATCAAAAGAAATGTTCATTTGTAAGTTTTCTCACCATGTACTGCAGGTCAATGAAGGGGTCATTGATGGCCACAACCTTGATGCCCTTCTGAAGGCAAGCCCTCAAGACCAGACGGCCAATACGGCCGAAGCTGTGAGGAGAGAGGGAGAGAGAAATAATAGTTGATGTG